CCAGAACCGGGCTCTGACTAAAGCCCTCTAAGCGGGCTTTGCCCGCCTGGTACCAGAATCAATGTATTACTTAAAAAAGTCACACAGAGCTGATGGATCCTCTGCAGAGCTCTCCTGATCGCCACGGCGACGGCAGCCTGGTGCCAACATTCTAAACTGCCACACCTGTGACTCATCACTGAACCGCAGCCATGCCAACGGACTGGTTTGGAAGAAACGCTGCCTCCAAACTCCTGCCCGCTGTTCAAAAACTAAAAGAGCGAATTCTGAAATTCCTCGACCGTGAGCGGCACGAGGGTCCCAGGTCTCAGCCAGTCTATTTTTTCGGCTTTTTATGGCAATTTCAAAAAGAGGTCCGATTTGGCAGTTGATCAGATTTTCTAAAAATTCTTCCATTGAGATTCTATTGGAGAGGTTCATGAAAGTCTGGACTCTGGGCCCGATTGCCGGAGAACCGTAAGGCCGAAGTCCAAAGCGGGCACATCGGCCAAAAGAGGACGCTCGCGGCTACGTTTTGGGGCCATTTTGGCACCGCTCGGCCCCACGGTTTGATCGCCACAGGCTGTAGTTTGACTTTTTTTCGGTGAACGTCCCCACAGGGCTCTCAGAGGCCTTAACGAGATGAGTTAGAGTGCGGGCCAGGATCTCTGATTTTCTGAATTTCACTAAAACGTCAACAGCGATTTTGGGCCTGATCCGCGGAACCATGCGCAACAAGTTAAATGTCAAAATTCGGGCAGAAACGGAAGAATTATAAGGAGTGGAACTAGAAAATTTCAGAAGAAATTTTGAGGGGGGCCACCTACTGCCCGTCAGAATAAATATGGCGAAGAGTAATAGGGAGGCCCCCCAATAAACAATATAAGAGTAGCATTGCACACAGAGCCATGGCTGCAATTTCCTCTATGCAACCTTTACAAAACCTTTTTCCTACAAAGGTACCAACAGAAAACCTCTTTTCTGTCCTTTTTTTGTAATTTTCAGTCTCTTGTCTTTGAACATTGAAAGTTTTTATCATTTGAAAACAAACTTTAATCTTTCCTGTCCTCTTGGTCCAGCCCATTTCTGTAACGAGGAGAGTTTCCGAGAAGTCATGTGATCCCTGAATGGAGCCTGTATAACAGGCTGAGCTCAGTTCCCGTCCACAGACACGACAGGTAGCAGCAAAGGTAAGAAGGACTTCAGCTTTTAGTCTTACAGCTTCGTATTTTATAAGAAAACACATCAGGGAGAAGAACCAAATTCAGGTTAATCTTTAGGTCTTCATGTTGTTTAGGAAAAAACTGTAGCTCAGTAAAATCATTTGTAACTTCCGAGAACCAAAACAGTCTGAAACATTGAGCCAATACTGCCAGAATCTGAGGTGTTTTTGTGCCCGCAGACCTGAAGCAGCAGCTCCGTCCTCAGAGGGAAACAGCATGGCAGAGTGAGTACCGTCTGAGGACTTAAAGGCTTTCACACACTGAATGATCTCAGTTATTCAGATCCATTATTTTAGAGAATTAGTTAGTATCTGGAGCCCAAATGACTGTTGCCAGGTCTGTGTTACGCTTCAAACTAAAAGCAGAATTTCTGTGGATTTTGGTCATTTTTCTGTTCCTGTGTTGAGTTTATTTATTTATTTATTTATTAGGGGGGCCACTGCCTGAGGCAAGGCCCACCAGCTTTGCTCGTTAAGGCCTCTGTGAGCCCAGTGGGGACTTTCACCAAAAAAAAGTCAAACTACGGCCTCTGACGACCAAACCGTGGGACCGAGCGTTGCCAAAATGGCCTCAAAACGTAGCCGCGGGTGTCCTCTTTCGCCCGATGTGCCCGCTTTGGACCTCGGCCGTACGGTTTTCCGGCAATCGGGCCCAGAGTCCAGACTTTCACAAACCTCTCTAATAGGATTTGAATGGAAGAATTTTGAGAAAATCTGATCAACTGCCAAACCGGCCCTCATTTTGAAATTGCCATAAAAAAAACAACCGGTTGCCGCAGCCGAAAATAAAATACACCGACTTCGACCTCAAACTCTGTAGGCGCTCACGGTCCAAGAATTTTCCAGTTTGGAGAAATAGTTTTTGAACAGCGTGCAGTAGTTTGGAGGATACTTTTGATCCATCTGTCAGTTAGGTCTGTGTCAGAGTGATGAGTCACAGGTGTGGCAGTTTAGAATGTTCAGAATTGGCACCAGGCTGCCGTCGCCGTGGCGACCAGCAGAGGCTCCCACTCTCTCTGCAGAGCTCTGTGAGCTGTGCTTCTGCTTATAGAGCGGGCGAAGCCCGCTTAGAAAGATTTAACTAATACAGTGATACCAGCAAAAATGCGGGCGAAGCCCGCTCTCAGTGATTTTTTTTTTTGTTTTTTGTTTTTGTTGGCTCTAGTGGCCTTTAATGACAGTAGCTTGACAGGAAAGGGGGCAGAGATATAGAGGGGGAGACCTGCGGGAAAGGGCCGTGGGCTGGAATCGAACCCAGGCCGCCCGCTCTAGCCATTAGGCTACGGCTGCGGCCCTCTCATTATTTCTGTTTCAAGGCGGGCGAAGCCCGCTTAGAGGGCTTTAGTCAGAGCCCAGTTCTGGTTCTGGTTCTAGGGATAGGACCCGACCGGGTCGGAACCGGACCGGGGCCATGTCATACCTCGTTGCGTAGGTCTTTTTCTCAGCTTTCAGCCAACGTGACCCCCGACCTGCCCACCCCATCCGCATTCGGTCAGCGGGCCCCAGAGCTCAGCCGGGTCCCTCCATCACTGCGTCTCTCCCTCAGGCCCTCTTATAGGCGCGAGCCCACATTACAGAGAGCCCAAATATCGATTGGCCGACCTGCCCCGGGTTTCCGGACGGGCAGCGGGTGGCCCCCCTCCAAAATTTCTTCAGAAATTTTCTAGTTATGATTATTCAAATAGTCTGAAAATGTCTAAATGTTCTTTGGTCCTTATTTTCTTTCTGACTTGTTCTTCCACAGACACCAGACATTCAGTGATTTCATTCACAACAATGCTGTCATTGCTAAGGGGCCTCCTACACGTTATCGGCTTAGACTAGAAGTGAGGAACCTGGATGGAAAGGGGGATGATTCAAGGCTCAGAATATGCACAGTTGGTACAAAAGATCCCAAAAAGCCGAATAGAACCATCCTGCTTGTTGGAGAGACCGGCTCAGGAAAATCTGCCCTCATCAACAGTCTTCTAAACTTCACAGTGGGGGTGAAACCGGAAGACAAACAATGGTTTGAGATAGTAGATGACATAAAAACAAATCAACCAGAAAGTCAGACAATAAACGTGTCAGTCTACCAGATCTTTGGCTTTGAAGGTAAAACTCTGCCCTACTCTTTGACCCTCATCGACACTCCTGGATACGGAGACACCAGAGGGATCGAATACGACGCCGTGATCAGTAGAAACTTACATGACCTGTTTCTATCAAAGGACGGAGTTCATGAAGTTCATGCCGTGGGTTTGGTGCTGAAGGCGGCTGAAAACCGACTGAGTGACAGACTGATGTACAGCTTCCAGTCAGTGATGTCTCTGTTTGGAAATGATATGGAGCAAAAGATCGTGGCACTCATTACACACTCAGATGGAATGCCTCCAGAAAATGCCCTTCAAGCTCTGGAAGCAGCAAACATTAAATGTGCTAAAAATGAGGAAGGTGA